GGCGCGGGGCCGCCCCCCCCCCCGCCCCCTCCCGGCGGCGGCGGCGGCGCGGGGAGCGGCGGGGCGCACGCGCGCCCGCGCGAGGTCCGTCCCCGCGGCGAGGCGCGCGGCGGCGCGGGGGCGCGGGGGCGGCGCGGAGCCGGGGCGCGCGAGGGCGCGGGGCGGCGCGGGGAGGGAGGGGCGGCGGGGGGGGGGGGGGGGGGGGGGGGGGCGGGGGCGGCGGCGGCGGCGGGATGGACCGACGGACACCCCTCAGCGCCCGCCGGGGCGGGTCCCGGGCGCGGCGGCGGCGGCGGCGCGCTCGTCCCCGCCGGGCGGTCTCCGGCGAGGCCAGCGGCGGCCGGGCGCGCCTGGGCTGCAGCCGGAGCCATTCATCCCCCGCCCCTTTGTTCGCCCTGAGAGTAACGCTGTGAATTAAAAGAAATGACAATATTTCGTATCTGCTCGCCCGGCCAGGAGAAGGGCCCTTGAGCCTGGCAAAAATCAGGCGGATCATTCATCGTGCCACCCCGCACCTGTGGGCTTGGCATTGAAAACCCCGCGGACCTCTTCCTATTCAACTTAATTATTCCCCCAAGGCGCACAATGGTTGAAATGGAGCAGGTTGGAGTCTGTTTATTGGTCGTAAATGTTTTTCTGAAGATCTTCTGAATCTCATTGTTAGCTCGTTGTTTGAGGCTGCCCTCTTTCTTTCAGACGAGAGTAGCCTTGGACTTTTCAATTTTCAATCGTAACATCTGCTTAATCGTACGGATCAAAATATGGAGACACAAAACATATGTAATGGTTGATTTGTTAAATCCTGGTAATGAGTTATTAACAAGGGAAAACAATAGGGCAGGATGGTGAGAGCCTTATGGTAACAGAGTCACTTTATGTAACGCCTGACGTTTCCCTTCTTGATAAATGGAACTAAGGTCTGAGCGCCAGGTGATAGCAAGAAAATCAATGTCTTTAGGGGCCGGCACCGAGACTTTTTTTCTATGTGAAAAATTAGGAGACATAAAATTTAATTGGCTGATCAGGGGAAAGCAGTGGTCTTAAGTTTAATTGCCAGTAGGCTTAGCGAGGGAGACAAAACAAGATTTGGGCCTGTTTGTTTGCTTGCATCCCAGCGCCGAGTCCAAGTGTATCGTTGAAAATGTGTTTTATTATAACACATGTCATGCTTTACAGTTCCCATATTGTGTAAAGACAATAGTTAATGGTACATTAAAGACAAGCAAACCATGCCAACACGTCTTGGACACATTGTAAGGGCCTCTCTCTTTGCTCGCTTTAGGCAGCTGCAGTCCAGGACCCAGAAGCACAAAAAGAACAAGTTTGAAATACCAGGTGCATCCGAGAGAACCACGACAGGGATTGATATGTTATAGCCCAGGACATGAACCTAGCAATAAAGATATCATTGCGATTGTTTGCGGCTTCCACGCCATGTAAAGCCGGAGGCGCCGGAGCAGGCTGCTTTCTGGCAGCGGAGGCTCTGCTCCCCGGGCTCCCCCGGCGCCCTCCGCCAAACCCGAGCACCTGTTGGCCAGACCCCGGCCCCGTCGTGGGAATCGCCTCCCACCCGCGCTTCCAGGTCTCGGCAGCGCGGTTTGTTGTGGAGTTATTTAGGACCATTCCCACCGGCTGCGGGATGCTTTGGAAAGCGGAAGGTTTACCAGGGGACACTCAACTGGTGTTTGTTCGACCTCGCAGCTGGTACGCGGTGCCAGCGAGGGGTGCGTGAATGAAAGAGGATGAGATCCCGGGCTGGGGAGGCTTCACGCCCCGCGCTTCGCAGGGCGCTCGCCCGACTGCCGGCAGATGAGAGGCCCTGGGAACCGCGGCGGGACGGGTTCACAGTGCCCACGCAGCCCCTGTCTGCGCACAGCGCTGCTCGGGAGCCACGCACGCCCGCCCGGCCCCTCGCTGGCTCTGCAGGCGAGCGGGCTGATGCCTCCCGCCTTTCGGGCTCGGGGCGGGGGGGGGAGGGGGGGGGGGGCTTTTGTTGTTGCTGTATTTTTTCTCTAATTTTTTTTCTTCTTCTTCTTTTTAATGGGGGATTGTCCGTTTCGGACAATTAAATTGTCTTTTCACCTAGAGCATCGCGAGTGACACTGGTCCCGGGAGGACAGCATCGGCCCGCACAGCCAGAGCCCCGCACCTCTCTCCGGGGAGCCTGCAGGAAGCGAGCCGCCTGCAAGCGCCTCTAACACCACCCCACCACCACCCGCTCAGTCGGGGCTGGAGATTTCATCCCCACCCCTCCCCTTTTTGTTCTCTCCTGCCCCGCTTTACAGCCCCCCAGCCCCCGTGGGGCTGTGGGGCAGGGGCGGGCCGGGCCTCCCCCGTCCCTCCGAGGCGCCGTCGGGGCAGCGCGGCCGCGGAGGGGCGGCCCCCGCGGGAGCCGGTGCGGGGTTTCAGGCGGGCGGCGGGGGCTCCGGGAGCGGGGCAGGGGAGTGGGGGAGACGGGGTGCGCCAAGGGTTTGGGGGGGGGGGGCGGGGCAGCGCTGGAAGGTGCAGCGATCACCGCGATCCCTCCGCTCACGGCCGCGGGGAGGAGCGGGGGCAGGCGGCTGGGAACGGGAGCTGCGTGGCTATCAGTCACGCCTGCCCCACGCTGGTCCTTACCGCGCCGAGCCGTGTTCCCCATCAGCAAAACCCCCCAATCTTCGAGCCGGGCTTGCGGGAGCTGCCGGGTGCCGCCGGGTCCCTCCGGGCCGGGGGACCCGCACAGGCACTTTCCTCCTGCCCTGTGCGGCGGGATTTTGTCGCAGGAGCGCGGCGCTGGGGTGAATGGATGATGAGTCGGTCAAAAGGACCTGTCAGTCTCTTTGAAGATTGAGTTTAAAGGGACTTGCCAAGTCAAGACGGGAGAGTGACAAGATAGAGACCCTGGTGTTTTACATGCGAAGGCCGGCTCTTCCGCTTCATCTGCACCATACTAAAGGATGTGTTGAAGCATTGAATCACAAAAAAAGTGGCACGCCAAAGAAAAGGTGCCACATAACAATGATTGTAGTGTTTTAATTGTGGGGGACCGCATCACCAAAGCCAATTGAGACGGACGGGGCTATACACAGAAGGAAACGGTACAACACTTCCATAACTTATAATTAAGCTGAAGTCCGACTAACATTTGACTTTCTAATGAGTGTAATGAGATTACATGCCTGATGGAAGCATTTGTGCAAAAGCGACTTTCTGTGTTTAATGAGGTCCTAATACAGGACAAGATCGAATTATAGGTCGGCTCTTTTTCTGGCTCAAAGAGCCCCGTTTAAGTTCAATGACACCGGTGCCGCCCGCCTCCCGCCCGCCGCCGGACGGGGCGAGGCTCGCAGCCCGGGCTCGCACGAAAAACGAGCAAAGAAATAAGCGACACCACCACCACCACCCCCCAGCCCCCCGCCCCGGCCCAGCCTCGGCGTGTTTGTGTGGGTAAGTAGCTCCTCTAATTGCTATTGGAAGAGATCCATGCCATCCGCGCTAGGGAACTAAATGTGTCTAACTAGGTTAATGCAATTAGCATGCATGCAACATATTGCTCCCACTTTGCGGCAGCTTTGAAAAAAAAAAAAAAAAAAAAAAAAAAAAGAGAGAATGGGGAGAGATGTACAGTATATGATGAGGAATAATTACACCTTGGCTCACCCGGGCCGTTCCCAGCCGCCGGGGTACGGCGCGGGGACAGCCCCGCTCCGGCCGTGGGCCGGGCCGGGCATCTGGGGCTCTCCCGGGGGCCGAGCCGCGGGTGCCACGGGAAAATCAGCACCTGCGGCTGGGCCGAGCCCCTCGCCCCAGCCCCGGACCGCCCCCCCCTGTAGCACTTGCAGCCCCCCGGCCCGGCCGGCCCCGGCCGCCCCCTCCCCTCGCCCCCGGGCAGGTGCAGCCCAGCCGCCCCCCCCCGCCCCCCCCCCCCCCAGCAGCCGGGCACGCTGAGCTGGGGCTACCAGAGCGACTCTGCCACCAGTTGCACGGTGGCTTTGTCCCCCCCTATCCTCCCCGGCGGTATCCCCAGGACGAGGGCTGCGGGGGTTGTTTCCCACGCGCGGCCCGCGGAAGGCTGGGGGCTGCCGGCAGAGCCCGAGCGCGGGGCCACGCACCCGCGGGGGCCCAGCCTGCCTGACCCACAGCCTGGTCCCCCCCTCCCTTTGCCCGGCTCCGGGTAGCGCACCCATCCCCGTGGCGGCGGGGTCGGGGGTACAAGGCAGCAGCAGGGGACACACACCCTCGCAAGGTTGGTGTTTCAGGACTCGGGTCTTTCAGCTGGAAACCACAAGCAGAGGCACTGAAAGGAGGGGACCTCCTAGAGATAGACAAAGACATCAGTTGGAAGCACTTCAGGGGAGGACGTCAAAAGGGGTGGAGAGAAGGGGAAAGTGTCCCCCCCGCCCGCCACCGTCCCCCCCGGCTGTATAAGAGAAGCCCGGGCCGGCGCTGGGGCAGAGTGGGGCCGGCATCTGGGCGGAAGGTGCCGGCTGGGACGTGCTCCCGGTCCCGCAGAGCCCGGGGCTCACCCCGCTGCCGGTCCCGCAGAGCCCCGGAGCTCACCCCGCTGCCGGGCCCGGGCCGGGCGCTCACTGCAGGGCTTCCTCGGGACGCGCTGGGGCTCTCGGCAGCCGCTTCCCACAAATACACTGCTCCACAAGGTACAGTCCGGGTTTATTATTAACAAACACAGGAAGAGTCCACGTGCAGCAATAAATTATTTTCACAGGTTCTGGCATTCGGTTGTTTTTGTGTGGATTGCTTTTTTTGTGTGTTTTTTTTTTTTTTTTTTTTTCCCAAAAAAAAAGGTGCTGGTGGAATAAACCTATTGCATATCTTAAAAAATCAGGATAAATTATATAAATTATATATTCAGAACAGACGATTCTACCTCATCACTACTCCGTAATAAATAGATAAATAAAGTTGATTGCCCTCAGAGTCTGAATCTTAAATTACATTTACAATATAGGTCTCTACATACAGCATGTACAGGGCGGGGCGGGGGCCACCCGCGCGGCGCCTCACGCCACGAAGTCGAAGGGGGGCTCGTTCTCGATGTCTTTGAGGGAGGGTTTGTTGTTCACCTTCCGCGGGTCCTCGGGGGTCCACACTTTGGCTGTCCGGATGATGTTTTGTTCCTTGAGTTGCTTTTCGTCAGTCCACGACAGCGAGTGACCGGCCAGAGGGGGGAGTCCGTAGTCGGGGTCGCTCGGGGAGGGAGATCCTGGGGGACAGGGAGGGGAGAAAGGCAGGGGGTTACTGCCGGGGCCGGCATCCCTGCGGGGCGCGGAGCCGGGCCGGGCCGTCCCGGGCCGCCACTTACTTGTGCCACGGTGGCAGATGATGATTTTCTTGGGCTGGCTGGGGCTCTCGCTGCTGGCGCTGCGCAGCGGCAGGTCGGACTGCACCAGCTCGCTGAGGAAGTTGATGTAGCCGATGGCCAGGCGCAGCGTGTCCACCTTGGAGAGCCGCTTCTCGTAGGGCAGGGTGGGGATGTGGGAGCGCAGCCCCTCGAAGGCGTCGTTGATGGACTGCATCCGCCGCCGCTCCCGCACGTTGGCGGCCTGCCGGAGCTGCTGCAGCTCCGCCTCGGAGCGCACCCGCCGCCGCCGCTTGGCCGAGCCCAGCGCCTGGAGCCGCCCCCCGGGGGACAGCAGCGCCGCGCCCCCCCCCGCAGCACTCGTAGGCGAAGCCGGGCGAGGCGGGCGACGGCGGGAAGGTGGCAGCCGGCGCCGGGCAGCGGTAGCCGCCCTCGGGGTCGCCGCCGTCGCGGTAGTACTCCTGCAGCTGCCGGCTGAGGAAGTCCACGTCCTGCTCCAGCAGCCCGTCGGCGGCCAGCGCGTCCCGCGGGGGCGGCTCGGGGAAGAAGTCCTCCTCGTCGAAGTAGGGGGGCGAGGAGAAGGAGTCCAGCCCCCCGGGGAAGTGCTCCAGCAGCACCGTCTCCATGCTGCGCCCGGCCCCGGCGGGGACGGGACGGGACGGGGAGGGGGGGGCGGCCCCGCCGGGACGCGCCTGCAGCCGCTCCCTCCGGCCCGCTCGCCGAGTCGCCCCGGCGGCGGGGCCCCCGCCCCTGCCCTGCCCTGCCCTCCCCGCCCCTGGGTGGCCGGGCGGCCGGGCCGCTGCCGCCGCTCTCCGGGGAGGAGGCCGAAGCCGGCTGGCGCGGCGGGCCGGCACGCGAGGAGTCTTATAACGACATCCCCGGGCGCGTGCCGCTGACCGGCGCCGCCAGCCAATCAGCGTGCGCCGGGGGGCGGGCGGGGGGGGGGGGGGGGGGGGGGGGGAGCCCCCCTCGTCGGGGAACACCGCGGAGCTCCCGCCGGCTGAGGGGCGGCGCCGCGGCGGGGACCGAGGGCGGGACGGGACGGGACGGCGAGGGGGAGCGGGACGGCCCCGCCGGTGCCCCCCCGCCGCCCAGGAACGGGCCCGGAGCCCGCGGAGCCGCGCAGACCGGCGGCCTCCGCACGTCGGGGGAGAGGCCCGGGTCCGCCCCGGCACCTCTCCCCACAAGCCGCTGACCGAAAGGCGCGCCTTGGCAGCGACCGGTTTAGCCTCCCTTCGAGCACCGGGGAGCAGGGGGGGGTTCACCCCCGCGGATCTTCCCCCGCCGCCGGCAGAGCCACTGTCGGAGCGGGCACCGGGGGCTCGATGGTGCGGGGTTTCTCGCGGAGTTTGAAATTAAGGCAACTCTATCATGACATCAGTATAATCACGTCAGCTCCTTGTATCCAGCCGTGCATCGGTTTGGACCGCATCGGGCCAAGCTGCGTTTTGACTTTTCCCACCCCCCCTGACCTCTCAGGACGAGCTCGTTTGGCGGGGGCTCTGTTAATAATTCCCCAACTGACTCTCGCTGATTAAAGCCTTAAAAATTCTCACTGGGGTGAAATGGATTACCCGGCAGATTAGGGGAGGATTATCTCTGTCATTAGCGCTGCAATAGTTTGTCTGGCAGAGTCTGTCGAGGTTTATCGAAAGTGACTTTCTAGTGTGCCACCAGCACGGGCAGAGATCAAACCCCGAGTGGAAACGTACCCGCTCTATCAGCAGAGCAAGACAGGGCCAGCTCCGGGAAAGTAATAAATGACTCGACTTCAAAGCCGCTGACAACGCCGCGATAACGGCAGGGAAACGCGTGAGTCACGGGAGGGAACAAAGACCTTTGCAAGAACCACTTCTTGTGAAGTCCTGCCTGCAGACGGACCACGCGGGAAAAAAAGGGAAGGGAAGGAGGAAACCTTCGCGCGAAGCCAGGAACGCGCCCATACGTGGCCGGGGGACCGCTGCCACCGTCCCGGAACGGGGAAACCGAGGGGGCCCTCCCCATCGAGGGGCGATGCGACGGCGAAGCGGCTCTCCGTTCACGCCCAGCCGGGGAGCAGAACGGGGATCTCGGGGTTGGGATGGGGGGACGAGGCGGGGGCTGCGGGCCCTGGAGCGCTGGCCGGCCGGGACGGGCGGGCGCCTCCAGCCGCGGTCCCCGCTGCGGGCATCACCGCCCGGTGCCCCCCTCTGCGCTGGCTCCGCAGCCTGCCCCTGCCCAGCCTGCGCGGCCGGGAGCCCCGCCGGCTCTGCCGTGATGTCCACTCCCACAAAGAGGGGGACCTCAGGCTGGGAGAGACCCGAGGAGGGCTCCAGGTGTACCTCCTGCTCACAGCCGGGGCAGCTGCGATGCCGGACCGGGTTGCTCAGGGCTTTTTCCGGTCTGGTCCTCGAAACCTCCACGGATGGAGCCTGCACAAGTTCGCAAGGCAGCCTGTGCTGCTGCTGCATCCTCCTCGGGGCTATAAGAAGTGTTGTTCCCTTACAGGTGTAACGTTTGAACCTCCCTTGTTTCTCACGTTGGAAAAGGTTTTCCGTGCGTCCGGACTCCTGTCGCCATTCACGCTCGCTGTCCTTCTACCTCGCTTCTGGACGCCCATTCCCGCAGGCTCTGGCAAGGTGCTACGGGGTCCCCCCGACACCGCCTCCGCCCCCGGATGAGCCAGCCCCGCTCCTGCAACCCTCCTTCCTCCCTCCCCCTCCCGCCCAGGGCAGTGCTCCAGCCTTCACTGTCGCGTTGGTCCTTCGCCACTCACGGGTGTTTTTTCCCGCACCGGCTGTCCCAAAACCGGCCGCCAAGTACTTAGATACTCGCGAGTGCACAGTGCGGGGAAAAATCCCTTCCCTCGGTTTCCTGGTCTGTGACCGTGTTCACGCAGCCCGGAGATGCAGCGGGCACCCTGCGTGGCCAGGGCCCACGGCTGGCTCCCGCGCAGCTCGCAGCCCACCAGCACTCCAGCCCTTCCAGCGGCGCTCGCTGGGGACCGCGCCGAGCGCACGGAGCGCGGCGGGCAGGAGGACCCTCGGTGACCCCAACCGTAGCTTGGCAGAGGCATCGCTCGCCCCCGGACCGCTCCTCCCAAGCGGCCCCGTCCCGCCGAGCCGAGGGACCCGCCTGGGAGAGCAAACACAGCTTCGGCATCGCGCAGGAACGGCGGTGCTTCCCCTTCCCCGCCCCGGGGCTCCCCGGGGGGCCGCGCTGCCCCCTTACACCGCGAACATCCCCTGCGCCCCGCTTTGCGCTCCCCAGGGCTGGAAGGGTAGATGCGTGGCGGCCCCACAGCAGCCGGGCGTGAGGCGCTGGTGGGTGGGAGGGCAGGGACCCGCCGGGGGATGGCCGAGGGACCGGGTGGGCTGGGGAAGCCCACGACCGCCCCCGCATCCCCCACGGCCCCCAGGAGCCGCCTGCTCAGCCACAGCCGGTCCCACAGTCACGCAGCGCAGCCGAGGCGCGGTCCCCGTGTCACCCGCCGGCAGCCCGGTGCCCACAGCTGGGGCACACCTGGACCGGGCACGCCGGGCCACGGCTGCGGTTGGATCATCTTTCCCGAAAGCAAATGACCCAGCTCCTTACCTCCCTGCCTGGCACGGGCTTATGTGGGATGAGTGCAGCCCAGGAATGAACGCTACGGGTGAACGCATCAGATCTAGAAGCTCAAGTATAAATCTAGCACGTATCGTACATTAAATCCTCTCGGATGCATGTCACTCCTACACCGAAACACCCGGGAAAAAAAAAAAAAAAAAAAAAAAGAAGAAAACTAAATCCTAACAACGCAGAGTTGATTTCGGGGGGATTTCCTGACCACAGAGCTGGCTCTGTTCCCTCCCCTGCATGCCCAAGGAGTCATCGCCCATGGGATGGCGAGTCCTTGCTCCTGTCACACTCCGGCTGGAGCCGGGGAGTTCAAAACCGATGAGCAAACCACGTCGTCGAGTAGCCCCTGTCACCACCACACCCACTTGAGACACAGACACATTCTTGAACTGACCCACGACCCGCCTCGCAGCATTCCCCCCAGGTCAGACAGACCAAACACCACCAGATCCAGAGGGTGAGCAACTCCCCGAAACAGGCTTTTTTTCCCCAAAGCCCCCACCAGCCTTCTCCCAGCGCAGCTCTTTGGCTGCGGTCTGTCCCTGTCCCTGAGAGCTAGACAGGCGCCAGGACATCTCTGGTTAACGTGGTGATGAAGTATCTCCCCGACGGCCAAGTCTGAAGGCTCCAAGGGCTGATGAGGAAGGAGAAGCAGGATCTCGGCTGTTGGTGTAACGACAATACGCGCTCCTGGAGGAGCTTTGCTCTGGCGCACGCTGGTACCGCACAGCCGGGGCAGTGAATGTCACACTGTTGGGGTCGGCACGACACCAGCGGGCCACAAAACTCAGGCAGGTGGGCTGGGAAGCTAGTCTGTGCCGTCTGTCTGTCCCTGCGAGGCAGCTCCGTCAGGACCGACGGGCATTTCGCGGCACCGTTGGGGCAGTGGCTCTCCTGCGGCCCGGCAGCTCCCGCAGACGGGAGCGTGCTGCTAGGGGAACCAGACAGACATTTTGGGAACCCACTGTTTCCAAACTGCTAGGGATTCGCAGCCTGTCTTGAAACCGTTCAGACCTAGCAGAACCTTGGAAAGTTTGCGAGAGGCGTCCCTGGGGAGGTAAGAGATGCGTGGGACTGGTGCCGCTCAACCCTTCTCCCCCTCGCCGGGCGCGGCGTGTGCGCTGGGGCGCGAAGGCAATGAAACATCGCTGCTCCCGGCGCTCGGTGCCCGGCGAGACGCCCGGCTCAGGGGCAGAAACGGCTCCCTCGCTGTGCCGAGCTCAGCCCTCGCCCCTGCGGTAGTGACGGCTTTAAAGACGGCCGATTCCAGGTTTATGCATCTGCCTTTGAGCAATGAGCACGGACCATCCCCGAAGGCAACCGCCTGAGGCGCGGGAAGGCTCTTCTCGGGTTGCCTAAGACATTGCGAAAAGGAAACTTGCGAAAACCAAGAGCCGGTACCAGCGCAGCCCGGACCACGGCAACACACCTGGGCCAGCACCGCCTGTGTCGCAAGCGCCCTTCTTTCAATATTTGTCCTGCCCGGGTGTCTCAGCCGGTCACCTCCCGCCCGCCGGCACGGACAGCAGCGTGCTCACGGGCACGGCACCTCCCCGCACCACTCCCCAGCAAAGCCAATGCGTGACCAGTGCCTGACACCTCCTTATTTCAATTCTCCGAGGGCAGGAACCGGTGGGGGTGAGACCCCAAGGGGCGCACCACCTTTCCTCCAGAGCCAATGACCGCAAATCCATCTGGCAGCCACCTTCACAGGGACCAGGAGGCGCTAAGGGTCTGGCTGCATGCGGGGTCTGGACCACCGACCCCCACTCCTCCACCCTCCGTGGGACCACGCAATACCCCCCGCCAGGTGAATAAGGGGAGGGCGCGCACCCTGCACCAAGGGGATCCGGAGCTCCCGGGCTTGCCAAGTCCTCCTGCCCTGCCTCTGCCCGTAGACGGCCCAGCCCGAGGAGACCGAGCCTTCAGCGAGGGACGGGGCCCAACCCTGGCTCGGGAAGGTGGTAAAGACCTCCTCCGTGGGCGAGGGACTCCACAGCCCAGCTGGGAATCTACAGCGTCTCTGCTT